CGACCAGCGCTCGCGCATGCACACGTCTCGAGGCAGCGGCCTTGGCAGGCCGCCATTTAGGGCCTTTCTCAACTCAAGCGTGGGGCCTTTGTGTTGCCTGCTGCGGAGCTTGGGTATCAGTATTGTGTGTGCATCTGTGCATGCACCGTTTCTCTGCGTGCGTGAGATGTCTGTCCAGATGGAAATAGATGCACAGCGACGGCAGATTGAGGTACTCTCTCAGCAGCAGCAAGCCGAGCAAGGAGCGGCCATAGTGGCAGCAACGCATGAGCCGACGAACGAACAGCTAGAACAGCTGCAGGCCCTTGAAGAAGAAAATATAGAGCTCAGACATCAGCTTGCTGATCTGAGCGCTGCGCTGTGCACTCCCGCATCCGTCAAAGAGTGCGAAATTACATGCCGTATCCTGAAGCCTTTCCTTTGAGTATATCAATAGGTGTTGACAAGTTATTATATCCTGCTGCTCTGTTGCAGCATCCGATCATGGGGGGAATCCATAATCATTTATAGCCTTTTATGCATCGACCCTTTCCGCCTCCTTTCTTTTCTTCGCAGTGGGGCTTCCAGTATGAACACACTCTTGGCGTCGCAGCTCCGGACTGCGCACGCAGATATCACCAAGCTGAGGAACTTGGTGAGACACCAGCTTCGATCAGCTGGCCTCGCCCAAGACAGTGTAGGACAAGCGATGAAGACGATCGGGAAAGGGGGCGAAGTCTTCGCAACAGACCCCAACGACATAACTGTCCAAGAAGCCGCTCTCGATAGCATGTTAGCCAGGGGACGGCGGCGAGTGCTCGCGGTAAGTCTCTGGGGAAGTCTTTAAAAAGGCTTTCGCAGGAGCAACATGGTGCGTTGCTCTTGCAGTGATGCTTGCGTCTTCCTGTGTTGCCATGCCTCACGAGAGGGTCAGCACATTGCCTTGTTCTCTGAGCTGCACTGTCATGGCGTCGGCAGATCTATATGTGCGCGCATATATAGGCCTTTATCTGAATCCTGTGTCTCTTGTCTTTCGCATGCTTCCCAAGGCACGGGAGTTCGTTTGGTCAGCCGTTGCCACTCTAAAAGATCTGATCGATCAGACCTTTGAGCGGATGGGCCGGCTCGTCAAGTCTGAGGTGGTAAGGAGCACGGCTTGGTATCGCTTTGCATCACCTTTACTTTCTCTTTTGCGTGTGTATGTGTTCCTCTACTCTATGTCCAGTGTGCTGTTGTCTGTCTCCCCTCCCCAACCCACAGCTATGTGCATCGTATCCCTGAACGGTAATACCGACCCCTTCCAAGGCAGTGACAATTGCATTCAAGCGCCGCTCATTTCCTCTTCGTTTTTAACCCTGCTTGAAGCTCTGTTCCCCTTGATACTTTATTGTCTTTGCCTCTTCTCAGTCTGTCGGTCAAAAGTCTGCCTACGTCCAAGAGCTGCAAGGCCTCGTTACTAGTCAACTCGATCCGGTGAGTTCAAAGAATGACGCAGAAAAGTTTCGCCAGTGCCACTCTATTCGGCCTGCGGTGGGCTGTGCGTATCTGTGTAATTCGTTGGCGCTTTCAGTCTGTCTGCTTCCGTGTATTAGGCCTTAAAGATATACAATGACCTCGATGAGGTGCACAAGGAGCTAGATACCTTGAAAGCCGTGGTTTTCGATCCCAAGAGAAACAACCCTTATTGGTAGGATGTGCAGCAAGGGTGCGACAACACGATTGTTTTGCTCTACTCCAATTGCTCAAAAAAGCCATCTGATCAGCTGGAATTGGTGATCTATTTGCCATTTGCTGCAGTCCCTGCCGGCCTCGCCGCATGGTGCTTGAAGACGATCTCGAACACTTGCAGCGGCAATTGCGCGAAGCCAACGAAGCACTTCGCACGGTCAGGGCACAGCTCGTGAAACTGGAAATGGAGAACCTCGCCAATTACGTTCAGGTACAGAATCTCACAGTCATGCTAGAGAAACCGTTTGAGGAGAGGGAAGAGGGGAAGGAAGAGGGTGGTGGCATGGGCAGGAGATGCAGATTGGGCAAAAAGCTGAGCGTCTGTGCATGGTACATGTCTACTACAAACCCACAGGACAAATGCTCTTCACCTTCTCGGCATCTAGACCAAGGAGCCCAGAGTCCACTGGAGCTTCAGAATCAACAGCAGCCACAATTTTCCCCAACTGCTGCTCGGAAGGCTGCAGATGAATCCGAAGAGTCGATGGAAGAGTTGCTCATGCGCGCGCAGAAAGAGCATGACGCTGCCAAAGTGGCAGAAGCGGTGAGACTGAACATCGCTTTCGGGACTAAGGGCTCAAGCTTTGGGTTTCACAGCCAGGGATTTGCGTTTGTTCGGAGCGTGTCTGTCATGTCTGCAGCTTGCTGCACTGAAAGACGAGGTAGAAATGCTAAAAGATGTGAGCTCTCCTCAGCTGTTGTGTTACCATTCGCTCTTTAAACTCTAAGCCAAAACTCTAAGCCCTATTCACAGCATATTTTATGAATGTGGCGCCCTCCGTGCAGCGAGCAATGCTGGATGAAGTGCATCGAGCTCAACCAGCTGGTTACTTGGCTGATGAACTGTTCAACCAGGGGGCTGCAGTTGCAAAAATGGTGGGCTTTTTTGCAGCTGCTGCTTTTTCACTGTATGGCATGTTTGAGCCAACCGTCTTTTCTTGAATTGCTATGATGATGAAAACATGGCTCTACTAGTTTTTTTCTGGATTTCTAATTTTGCGGTTTTGCAGATCAACCAGATGGTGGAGTCAACGGAGCATCTCGCTCAGGTAAACTTTTGCCTCGACATATTCCAATCACTCGTAGTTATTCGTCAACGTCCTCTCTCACGTAGAGCGTGAATTCGTTGACTTTGTCTTAATGTTGGCTTTGTTTGCGCCCTACAAAACGCATGCAGCCGTCAGTCGAATCAGCACGAGGAAGCGAATCATCCTGTTTAAGTTTGTTGCTCTCAGGCCCTCACGGCAAATCCTGCAGCAGAGGCGGCTAGACAGAGGTTCCTCATGAGTGCCCATGATCTGCAGCACGTGGCCAAAGTCAGGATAATGTCTGAATCCCTTAAATATCATATTCCAATTGTTGCTGCTCGCCTATTGCCTTTTGCTCTCCATGATTTCTTTCTATCTTGATCCCTTTTGTTTTGTTTTGACGGTCTTTTTCTTCTGGTTCCTCGTGTTTCTTCATTCCTTCGTGCCTTTTCAGGCTGCCCCGACTTAATATCCTTTGTTCATTCGTAGCATTGGCTTGAGGATGCATACGAGCTTATTGTAGCCTGGCCTACACCTTTCACTTTCATACCTATTTGGTTTTTGTGTTTTTGTGTTTGTCTGCATAGGAGGTCGTCGGAGGGCGACTACCGGCGGGGGTTGCAGTGAAGAGAGTTGCAGAGACACTAAAGAGCCTCCGCCTGGAAGAGATACAAGGCATTATAGACCCTCAGGACAGGAAACTGCTGCAAATGGTGAGAGACTGGGCACATCTGCTGGTTCCACTGTATGCGTTGCTACATGCTATCTGTAAATCTGCGTTGCGTATCACCCCGCTTTCTTGTCACGATGCTCCCCTTTTCTTGGCATGCCTGTGGCTCTACGCTGCCACTGTGACAGTTTGACCTCTATGCCCATGTAATACGTTCTTCTGTATTGGTTGGAGACTACGCATATTTTTGCTGCTTCTGTTCACGTGGATCGTTTCAATTTTTTTGTTGGATTGCATCCATCTTCGCTATTTTTCGTGCAGATCGAAGAACAGGCAGTGAAAATGAGGAGGATTAACATAGTAAGGTTGAACAGAGGGGAACAACTGGAAGGAGGATTAGAGTTATAAATTAAATAAGAGCTACATAGGGAAAAAATTTCGTGAGAGGGTGCAGAGAGAGCGCTGTGGAGATGGGAGATGGCGCAGACAAATACCGACACACTGAGTATATGAAGCACCTTGGGAAGAACATTATGTCGCGTGTTTATGAAAAGAATTTCGCAGAAAGAAGCGACATTTGAAGCTTGAAACGGTTCACTTGTTTGTGTATGTATTTGCCTATAGGATATGCACCACATCGCGAATCTCCAGTAGCGAGCCGACTGCCGAACGTTTGCCTGGTTTCGACAGCTGGTTGCAGCATCTCTAGCAGAAAATCGCCCTAGTTTATTGTTTTTTTGCATCTATCTGTCATATGTTCGTCTCCTTGATGGCTTATCTTGGTTTTAAATGCTGAATCGCCGAGCCAACAGAGGAAGAGCTCTCGCTGGTCAGGGTCGAAACTCTTGAACGGCTGGTGCGGCGTAGCCGCCCTCGGGCTTTTTGATGGGCAAACCCTGCGAACAGCAATGAATGTGGCTGTGACAAATATTGAAGAGTTTAAGACTGGTGTCTAAGGGCAGTTTTAGGGTATGCAACTTAGCACCGCTTGCTTGCTGGTCTCGCTAGCACCAATTTGGCTGTACAAGGTTGGCGCACTTGTGGCTGAGGCTGAGGCAGTTTTACTGGCTGATGAGGGGCTGTTCAAGCTTGCAGCGGACAAACTGTAGCTTGCGTGTAGGCGCATTTATGGGTGTGGGGGAATAAAGGCTTAGGGTGTGTCATTCATGATAAGAACTGCAGGGCTTTTTGCGGGGTGTACCATTCGCTTGCAGTTGAAGTATTCTTTACCGAACTGGTAGATATCTGGTGGCTGTGCCCTTATCACTTCCTTGGCAAAATCAAACAGTAGCTGGGGGAAAGACGGAGGGAGAGAGATATCCGATCCCTCGACGCTCACCAGCTTTGCTGCTCCTTGACAATACATCGTTGAAACGGTTGTGTGAAAAACGCACTTCTAAACTCAGGACTTAGAAGTCGTTAGACTTGCCCGGAGTTCACAGGGTCCAGGAATGGGATGGGTGATGCCAAGGACAGGGCAATGCAGCATGCAGTAATACTCAGATTGACGCTCATACCATATCCGGCATCTGTAGCAAGAGCTACAATTAACAGCTAGCGGCTATGAGGGGTGCTATACTATTGTAAGGCTGCAGCAAGGGGGACTAAAGCTCGGGGAGTGGCCTCGCAAAAGATGAACAGGGCACTGCTGTTCATAAATGGAAATAGCTTCGAGTGCAAATAGAGTAGCAGTACCAAGCGCTTCGGCTCTCGTGCACTTGAAATATGCCTATAATTGTTTTCTTTGTTTCTTTTTTCGATACGAGAGCTTAATTTCAATACATCACCTTATCCTGCCATGAGTTGAAACCCCTTGTGCTAAGGACGCCGCATGTTGCGTTGTAGGTCTGCATATTTTGTAGTTTATGGGGTATCGCTCACCGCGAATTTGTGTTACTTCAAAGAATAGAAAAATTTTAATTAAAGACTAACACTAGATGTAAACTGGCCAAGAGCGTTTGGATGTTGAATGTATGTTGTTCTCACGTGACACTGAAAGCCAGTGCTGCTGCGTAGAACTAAGAGGCCATTGCTCCTCTTTCCACCATCCCTTTTATGTCCTAACAACAGCCATATGGTAGGTAGTGAAGTTTAAATGGCTTGAAAAATCTGTAAATTGGAGGGGCTGTCGCCGAAGGATTGCGGATTCGGCTTTATATGAAGATGCCTTTGGGGTCACCTGAGCCGAACCATGAGCGCCGGGTGTTACCGTTAGATTTTCGGGCATGTTGCGGTTGTTTGTGCATCTCTGCACAGGAAAGCCTCCAAATCTCTCTCTATTATTCTTATGAAACCACTGTCAGTCTTAAAGAGGGAGTACAAAGGTCACTCTGCTTTAGAGAATTCCTCGTATTTCGTATTCCGCTGCCATTGCGCTGTACTGCAGTGGCACCAGCAACAGCAGAGCTCCTTGTGGGGAGCCAAACAAGGCATTTTGCATATTTCCTTGTATTTTTGATTTGTTCTTTGCTGAAAGAACTGCAACAACATACAGCGCATCTTCTCGTGTCCTTTGCACCCGGGGGTTTGCTGCTCCCCGAATATACAGAATTCCAGTGTTTAGACACCTCCGCTGTCAGGCGCTCTCACGGAGTGCCACCATTCCTCCCTCATCTTTCAAGTTCCTAGGGTTATCCGCCTCTTCTGCGCGACCGACGCAGCAGCTCGCAGAGCCTCGCATGATGCGCACAACACCCTAACTGGAGCCTCAAGTATATAGGGTTTAAGCATACTTTTGCACGCTGGGATGGAGCCTGAGCCGGTCTTCACGATACGCTCGGCGGAGGAAGTCGTCGCCATCCACGTTACAAGGCAAAAGTCCATCAAGGTGCACCCGCCGCGATTCTGTCGATTTTTGCAGTAGTTGTGCTGTTGTTGTTGCTGCTGCTTTTCCGGCCGCTGCAGCGCCCCCACGCCTGCAGCTTGCGCTGCCGGCGGTCCTGCCGTTGCCGATGAAGTCGTGAATCGTCCTGCGCGTGTGGCACTGATGGTGTGGGGTCCTGTGCTTCGCCTCTTGAATCCACTGCTGAATGCATGCCCGGGAGGCGCGAGGGCGTCGCCGCAAGTTTGGAGCTTTGTAGGCCACGCGTGTATGGTGGGTGTTGCACTCAAGGGTTCAGTTGTGCTGAAGGATGCGGCGGTCCAAACGAGCATCACCTTGTGCAAATGCCAAGACCAGGTGAGAGGAGCACGCCGCATGCACCGGTACATCGGCTGCCCTCCTCATCAGCCTCGCCTATCTCCTGTTCTTACTTAGCGGCAGCAGCAGCCGCAGCACATAGGTGCTCTGCGCAGACGCGTCTGTCTCTGTCCTTAGGGCTGTGAGCACATGCTGTGCTTCCCGGAAGCCACCAGCCAAGACGCGAATGTGTCGAGTGACTCGACTGACGGGGGCAAAGAACTGTCGGCTAACTTGAAGAAAATACCAACGGCGCCAACGAAATCCGCTTGCGCCGACGCCACTGCCTCTGCGGTTGCTGGGGGAGAACGCTCTACAGCCGCAGAGGGCATGCGTGAAGCCGCAGGAGAAGCAACAGAGGCTAGATCCAGTCGAGAAGCAGTGCTGCTTGGGGTAGAGAACGCACAGAAAGCAAGCCGTAATAGACGGCCTTCATCTTCGAGGGCTGGAAGCCCAGTAACGAAAGCAACGAGAGGCTCTGAAGCAGCCGACCTCTCCAGCGAGGTACCTGCCTTGTTGCCGTGACAGCAACTCTCCTTTTCTTCGCTTCTTTGATGACTCTTCGTTTCTGTTTCCTGCTGCTTGTGCTTCGTGACTGGCTGCCTTCGCCTGTCCGCTTTTTGCAATGAAAAATGAGAGAGTATTTCGAAGGGTTTTTCACGCTTTCGTGCACGGCTCATCCTAAAAGCAGACACACATTTGGGGGGTGTCTGTTTCTCGCACATCGTCGCAGTTGTACGTTGTCATGAGCGCACGTTTTCGTTGGCACTTTGCGGCGTTCCTCCGACATTCCCCGTGTGTGTGCAGCTCGGAGACGGTCCAGTGTGCCTACCATCAACGGGCTACCAGTCGTGGTATGGCAGCTTGGTAGGGCTGATTTTCCGTCACTTTGTTCATAAAAGCTGCTGCCAATCTGAGGGCCTAGAGACTCCGCTGAACGCCAAGAGCTTCCAGGAAGGCACGACCAGCCCGATCCTTCTTCGACGCAGCACCAGAAGTCACACACTCGCTGCATGCACCCTCCAGCACGATGGAATGCCAAGCAGCCAGACTACGACTCCTACAGGAGGCTCTGCCGCTACAACTGAAACAACGGCACCGTCGCTTCCACCGCATGCAGCGGCAGTGACAGTAGCAGGCACGTCATGCTCCCTCGCAGATGGCCTCCCTTCGCCAGAAAGGCGAAGGCGGTCTCTTGTGGAAGGCAGCACCGAGCGGCTTCTCTTGGAGATCTGCAACTCCGTTCACAGTGAAGATATCTTTTATGGATACGAAGACGTCCCCCCAGAAGCCCATACAGAAAGGGCAGTCGTCGGTGAGCTGAGCACCTCTAGCAACTTCCGCGGCAGCGCCACAACAACTCGCCTAGTCTTGTCTCCTAACTCTGTATATACCTGGCTATGCATGCATGAAAACGCATGAAAAGGGGTCTGTCTCGATCGCCCGTTATGACGCGGCGCCCCTTCTTCGCAATTCCATCGTGCCTTCGCTCCGTTCGTCCTAAATCTCGAATTATGTCTTGTGACACGTCGATGCCACTCCACCGTCTCAATAGTTGCTCTCTTTCCGAGCCATAAAAAAAGAGCACTGCTTCCACCCGCGTGGCTCTGTGCGCGCGCTTCCCACAGCCGTCGCCATGCAGACACCCCGCAACAAGAAGGACGGCCGCGGGATCTGGCTTCTCAATCATCAGCATCGGCATCACATCTTGCAGATCCAGGAGGGAGCTGCAGCGTCATCAGCCTACGAGCCACCCTTAGCAAGGCTGTCGGAAGGAGTAGAGGAACCGTCGAGAGCACTTGCATTTGTGCAACATCCCTCGCAAGCCCTAGAGGCAACCGAAACGAAGGCACCGCAACAAGCGACCACCAGACCCATAAAACAAGCCAAGTGCAGCAGCAACAACGACTTGGCAGAAAGCCTTTCTACGACGGACCGCGAAAAATCGCTCGATCCTGGCAGCGCCACTGCTCAGCTCGAGAAGGAGCGCCAGCAAGTAAGTTCTACGGCTGGAAGCAGACGGAGGGCAGAGGCAGAGGAGGAATTATAGAAGCGAGCCTTGCGGTAGAGGAGGGGAAGAGGAAGGGGCTTCTGTGGTGTGCATACACCTAATATGCTGTACATAAGTACATCCGGCACTCTCCAATCGATGGTGAATACGCAAAGCTGCAGTTGGCTGCCTGCCCGCTTCTGCGGGAAGCTGCTGACCTCCGCATCGCGTGTTTCCCCCACGTTCAACTGCGTCAGCCTCCCCTTCTAGCGCAGATGCGTTCTATATTCATCTTTGTTTCCTGCCGCTACAACACACGCGCACCCGCGGTGCTCTCGCTCCTGGCTCTCGTGACTTGGCACTTTTCCCTACCTGCATCCAAACAGGCGCGCGTTGCCCTCTCTTGCCGCCGCTTTCTTCGCGTTTCCAACTTGCTAAATGCTGCCTTTCTGTGCTGCCCCTGCAGCCTGACGCTGCTGATGCCGCCTCCCCACTTCAAGAGCCACAGCAGCAAGCAGCCAAAAGGACGGCCGTCAAGACGCGGGTGGCTGTACAGCAGAACACCGACGGCGAGCATGCGGCAAAGCAGCGCAAAGCTGGCCGCAAACAGGCAGACGCATGCAACGCGGAGCACCGACTGCAAGCAGAGAAGAGCGACATAGACAAGGAAAACAAAATTGACACGGCGGCACCAGCACCAGCAGACAGCCTTCCCAGATACTCCGGAGACCTTTCCAAGGCCCCTCCATCCGTCGATCCAGAGACTCGCGTAGACTGCTCCAAAATAACAAATAAGGAAATCGGTTAGGCAGGCATCCAAAGGCGCCTTTGTTTCCTTACTGTGCTCCTCTCCTACATGCTTGCACTCATCTCGTTGTGGCCCCTTGGCTTTTCATCGCCTTCATCGCACTCCCCGCCTCTCCGTGTCGCTTGCGTCTGACCTAGAACTACTCCCATCGCCCTACGCCTCCGTAACAAAGCTCCCTCCTCTCTGTGCAGCCGGCTATATGTTCTCGTGCAGCTACTTTGTGCTCGCCTCCGCCTCCCCTTCTGACCCACGCTCGCCTCCTGTCGCGACTCCTTGTTGGCAAGTGGGAAACCGTGCTGATGCGCTCTGACCCCCTAGAGAGTCTCTTTAAGGCATTTGGAATTGCATACTTCAAGCGTGTCGTCGTGGACAAGCTGGCAATCCCCTTGGATATCACCCTGGAGGTCGGCGGCGCAGCTGTCTTGCCTGAATGCTCAGGCGCGCTTCCTCAGAAGAGCCAGTCAAGGGTTGCAGTCTCTTGCGGCCAGCTTATCGAGCCGGTCTGCTGCTTTCGCCAGTTTTGCCTTCGCACACGTCTCCGTGTTCGCGCTCCCGTGTCTGTGCATCTACGCCGTAGGAAAAGGACACAATTCTGCACGTCATCTTGACGATCCCCTTAGGTTTCCGGCACATGCGCATGGCCCTTGACGGCAGCCCAACAGTTGATGAGGACCCCGATTGCGGATCGTGGGAAGGCATCGTGCAAATCGGTATGCTGAGCACGCACGTCAGGAGTTTTCTTCACAGAAAATCTGCATTGACCCCTTGGGATCAAGCAGCTTTCTGGTGAAGAAAACTCCGCCAAAGATATACGCGCCTTGCGGCACCTTCGTCGAAACGAAACTGCCCTGACACGAGTGTCATGAACGCCCGTGGCCTGCAAGTTATGCCTACACTCCGGCGTTTGCTACTCCAAAACGACCACAAATCTCAAGTGTACAGAGCAGGCCCTTCTTTGCACTATCCTTTCTGAAGGAGACTGCTCTCTGAGTTTTTTTGCGTAACTGCGCACTGTCGAGCCTTGCCGTTACCCCCCAATCACCGCCTTCCGCTGCGGAAGGCCTAAACTAACGCTCCGGGGTTTCGTGTGTATTTGCAGGCGAACACAGTGTGCCATGGTACAACAATGGGCAACCCTTCTGCGCACTGCAACAGAGAAGAACCCATAAGAAAATTGGCCGAGTTCTTGAAACGCGCGCCGTCCTCCCTGACCCTACGTATGGAAGAGCAATGATAATGCAGTTCCATCTATACGGCCAAAAAGGCAAACCAGATATAGTCTGCAACCGATTTCTTAAGCCACTCGGAAGTTGAAAGGAAGCCATAGAAGGAGGTACGGCCTCCATGCCACCTCGATTCTCTCTTTTGCCACCCGAAGGAAACCCCTTGCACCTATGTGTCGATTGAGCTTTTCTGCATCGATGCCGCTTTCTCGCTGCCTCTACCGCCGTTTCCTAGAAACCACTTTCTGTTCTCCGCCACTTCATCCGCTAAAACCAGCTAGGCACTCAACCGCTCCGCTGAGCCCGCCAGCAATGTGACGTTGACGCACAGGCCCCTGCCCAAGGCGCCATTCCTCAAACCCCAACTCTACGTCTAAATTCATTTCGTCCGCCGTTTTCAAATGCCGAATGGCATGCACCTACGAAACTTCCCTGTTTTAGCATTTCTAGTTACGGCCTACAAAGGTCCTAAATGAAGCAAGACGTGGGATGAGTACGCACGCAAAACCCCCACAATAGGGCTACGGTCCCTGGTTTATTCCTGCACTAGCAGGTAAATACACTCAGGGCGATCGTACCAAGCACTCACTGCCAGCCCTAAGCCTTGGAGGCTCCCAGTGGCTACGTGGATGGCAACTATAAACCAAGGATTTGCAGATGAAAGAGTCGAGCGAGGCAGCAACGGCTCTCAGGAATCGCACCCAGGGCCACCCCACGCGGCGGGTCTGTTCAGAGCGTTGCGCTGGAGGCCATTAGCTCAGGAAGAAGACGAAAAACAAAATGAACGCCATGAGCATTAAAAAGACCTGCGCAAACGCACACGCTTCACAGCCGATCCTTGAAGGGCGGGTGGAGAGGCTGCTCCAAGTTCAGCTTTCAGGTATGGGATTTGGGGAAAGAAGCTGAGGGTTTAAGCTTTTCACAGCGCCCTGCCTTTACGATGAGGGTTCTATTGGACGAAATGCGGTTGTAGAAATTCAGGAGCTCGCTTTGGCCTGCGATGCAGCCGTATCTCCACAATACACCCTATTGACCCCAACTACCGCACCTAGCCGATCGGCAGCACGGCTAGACATTGTACCATTGAACCCACTGCATGCAACACATACACCAAGGGGCCCCATATCAGATTTTTCTCTATTTATTCAAGATTAGATGAGTCCACCAGTCCGCATTACGAATGGGCCTGTGAATAGCAATGTGTTATGGCTGGAGGGCCCTCGGTTGTTTGGGGAAATGGTCTGCCTGGATAAGTCAGCTCACCTTCCCTTATGTGCGTCATTGAAGAGTCTAGATCCTGATCGATACGTTGAATCATTTCCTCCTGATGCGTTATCATGGTTGCAACGCGTTGGAAAATGCTGGCCAACTCGCCGATTACCCGCTGCACGTTTTCTACTGCCTGCATGCAAAAGAAACCACAGGAGCAAACAAAACTGAGCGCTCGAGGCACCCTATAGCCGATGTCACGCTAGCAGCAAACAATCTCAAGCAACCCATCATAATCGGCTACAGTCTGATAGGCCCACAGCACACGGCTTCTAGGTCACGATGATGAAGCAGCATGCGAATTTCCTTATTTTAAAAGAAAGATTTCAGGGTTTAGCGTTCTAGCACGAAAAACTTGGCAGTAGTACTTCGGCTCTCGATTGCGCGTAGGAGTGCCCCTGTCGCGAGACGAGGGCAACGCGTTGGCCTCTGAAGAACAAACGCCACATATTTACAGCCTCCTTCTTTAGTCTACGTTCTACGCGTTTCCCGCTGTTCCCTGTCTTTCATGAAGATTTTCAGCAGCATCAAAAGCCTTCAACCCTCCCCTTCCTCCCGCCCCTTTACCCCCAAATTCTAAAGCGCGAACCCTTCGACATCGAAGATGCCATCGTCCGCGTCGGCAGTGCCCGATTCGCCCCCAAAGGAATACAAGTTCCTTCTTCGGTCTTGACGCTTGAGATTCTGCGGCAACATAAACGCTTGGCATCCCAGCGTTCAATTTTACACTTCCAAGAAGGCACGGAAGCTTGTCTGACAAGCGGCAGAGCACCAGCTCCTGCGCAGGGAGTAGCACAGTTCGGCAAAGATAAATGCATGGATGCGTATGCGCTGCCACGCAAGTCACTCTGACCTCTGTTCTTAGAGTCAGGATGTCTTTGAATTCCTTTGTCACATCCAACAGCCGAGTCTTCAGAACCTCAGTGACAGTGACGTAATGCTGACGAGAATGGCCGCTGCCACCCCCTACATTCGCCCCCAGCTTCGCAAGTAAATCTGTCTTGTGATTCAGTACGTTTATCGTCTGAAGCAAAGACAGCCCGCAAGCCCATATATACACACACATAGACCAAATGGCCAGCAGAACACCTGTACGAGAACACAAGAAACTCGGCACCCGCTATGCGCCGATAGTCTTTTTCCAGCCCCAATCACCTTCCGAATCTCGAAGGTCAACTCCTGAATCTGCGCAGTCTTGTCATTATAAATACCGCATTGTCTGGCCACTGCGAAGAAAACGCAAAGGACAGGAAGAAGACCATGCACTTTCCAAAGAGCAAGACTCTAGGGCCCGAACCGCCTCTTCCAACTAATATGCCTTCCTGCCTGCCAAGATCTGTCTTGCCTCCCCTCCCTTCCCCCGCATCAGGTTAATCCGCCCCTCTCGCCCTGACAAATCAGGCACTCTTCAATCCTTACGTTTGCCGAGTTCTTGCAATTTGAGGGAAGTGCTGTGCAACGCGTTGCCCATTTCTGCCGCGAGGGCATTGAACTGCTGATCTGTATCGGAAAAGTGCCTCCTCTGTTCTGCCCTCTCGCTCCCACCTGACAGCCCTAGCCTTTCAGCCGCTTCTACGAACTCATGCGTCCTGTCGTACCCCATCTTCGCTATCAGTGGGGGCTTTGGAAGAAAGAAGGCGGGGAAGGATTTAGCGCAGCAGCGACAACGACGAGAAGAATGCAGCGCTGGGGATGTTGTCCATGTTGAGGTTGTTATTGCAGGAAATTAGGGAGAGCTGTAAGTCGAGAGCAAAAGAACAGGACGGGGTAAGGGAGCACAGAAAGAGGTGTGAAAAGACACGAGGAAAAGAGAATAAGCGTTAAGCAAAAGAATGGGGAGAAGAGGGGATACAGCACAGGAGAAGTGTAGCTAACAGGCACCCAGAGGCAGAGAATATTTTTCACCGATCTAGGTGCCTTTGCAGCGCAAAAGCAATGCCTGTTCCTCCTAAAACGTCGCTTGGCGGCTTCGCCAGCAGCAACAGACAGCAAGCGAAGATCCACGAACAGCTGAGGAAAACACCATCCTTTCTTCATTCAAGATACAACTAACAAGAAATCACAAAGTAGCATAAATATTTGAGGGCTCGAATAATTCATGTACGCTTCGGAAATTGAATGACCGCTGACGACTCCCGCGTACTGCCGCCACCGAAAGTTGAACAGATGCCCGTATTGTCGGCCTCATCAAACTAGAAACTCCCTACCCTACACGTAAGCATTTGCCCTTTTTGCAGTTGGCATTTCGGTGGAAGTTTCTCTTTCTTGCTTTATGAGCAGAACCGTCAAGGAGCATGCAGCCCCTAGCCTTTTTGCTTCTTTCTTCATCCTTCTCTGGGCTTGCTGCTACAGCGATAATTTGGTATATACATGCATTATTGTGTTTTCCTTTGGTCACTCATATCAGTTCATATTCTGGCTTCTTCACTTCGTTCCAAGAGCACCCACCCACTGACTTGTTGTAGCGTCTCAATGGCTTTTGTGTGCTCTCTCCTCTCTCCCGAACTCAAGACCTTGGCCCTTTGCGCAAGGCAACCCCAGCGATCCGTCTTTACGCCTCATCATCCATTCAGGGGTTCACCGCTCGTTCGAGCAGGTGGTCTTCAGAGTTCTAGGGAAGTACGGCACCGAGGACCGACTCTGCTACCGCTCTTATGGAGGAACAGTGCAGGTGTGCATCCATTACCGTGTGGGTTTTAAGCCGGCAAACTATGCCTTGAGCCTAAAACTGTGGCTACTTCCTGGGCTTTCAAGTGTTCTCTTCACACTTGTGTTCCATGTTTGACTGACTGAACTTGAATTTGGGTTCGTTAAGCACTGGCACCATTTACGATTCCCCACCATGAGCAAAACTACAAATAAAACTACACAGCGAATACATCTTAACACCCATTTTCTACGTAGGCTGGAATAATGTTGTAGCCTCGAAACATTTTGAGGAATAATCCATACAAAAGCTTGCCAGGCGAGCAACCATCTTCCGAGGCGTACGAAAATGAATTACACACTTTGATTTGACGCGTGCGTGCGTACACGCATGTAACTTGGGTTGCATTCCTACTTCAATGCTTCGGGCTCAAGTGTCTGTGTATATCATCCACAGGTTGCTGCCGGCTGCTGCAGGTGCAGCACAGTGTCAGAGCGCTTGGGGGTTGTGCAGACGTCGCAGCTAACGAAGGTGATACAGCTGCCATTCAGACAAAAAGTAAGAAAAAGTCATCTTCTAGGGTTCCTGTGAGTCGGCTCTTGAAGATCAGCCGTCCGGGCTCCTCTCGAGAGGAAGATAGATGTAAAGGCAGTGGTGGAGTGCATCAGCAGCCCAACGAAAGCGATGCTACCGTAGACGCGTCAGCCTCCAGCGCATGCGCAGCTTCCCTTGAAGCGCAGGAAGCACCGGAGAAAGAGGCACAAGGGAAACAATCGCAAGAAACCAAACAAGAGTGGAAAGGAGAAAATGGTTCAGGGGAATTCGGATTCAAGTACAAGGGCCCTGAGCCAACAATGTTTGGCGACTGGGCCCACAAGGGGAGAGTCTCTGACTTTTAGTCCATTATTGGTTAGGGTTAGAAGGCAGTATTCTTCGCTTGCACGATTTCTCCTGGTATTGCAAGTTGCAAATTTCGGAAAGAAATCTGCTGTTTTCTGGCGTACATATTCCAAGACTTACCAGGTCTCACGCCTTCCTCGATCCGTGAATTGTCGGCCATTATGCTGCCGTTCACGTCGCACGGCGCGGTAAAAGTCTGCGTAGTGCAATAGCGTGAAGGTTTCTGGTTCGAGCTCAAGGGTTTAAGGGCAGATGATGATCGAACCTGCTCTGCAGCGGGGGTGTTGCTTGGATCATGGCGCACGGTAATAAACCCTGAAGAGAGCTCAACGCATGTGGAATCAATCTCTAAGCGTACATGAAGCTTACTTACCGTTCCTGTCCATGTTTCTAAAACCCAGATGGTCATGAAATTTTTTACTTTTTGAACACTGCGCATTTAGCATTGAACTCACTCTGTCACCCCGTTGCAGTAGTATGCCATCTTGTGAAGGTTTTACGTTTATGGGGATATGAGGTATAAAAGGTCAAGACTGCAGATTTCGCACTCACCATGGAAGCCACGGAGGGCCCAGGTCCGCCTTGATTCAGATTTAGGGTGAAAAGTTCGGTTCCGCTGTCTGCCCACCTGTTTTGTGTGTGTATAGTCTCTTAAGCGGATGGTTGTACAGTTATAACAAATGCTCACAGTGACAGTGCATCATCCACGGATGATACAATTCGCTGGTCGATGACATTCGCGCAAATCGCCTGCGGGAACAAGACCGAGACAGAGGTAAAGGCGTGAATGGTTTGAGTAGGAAGTCAAAGAGGAATGGTAGGGAGCGTCTTAAGCACATATTAGAGGAAGTGGGAGACACAGATAGGTGATACTGAGAAATAGCTTCAAAGGACCGAGTGACAGCGTGGGCACTGGGGGAACAACTGGGTAGGGGTGTCAGACTTGGCCTGCTTACTTGCTTGTTGATATCAAAAATGTAGGGAGAGCGCTGAATAGTTGAGGGTTTCACCCCGATTGCCCATCTGAAATTCCGTGCATCCTCTTGAAAAGCCAACAAGGCGCTGGAAACAAAGACCTACGAAGGACTTCGGGACGCCCTCAAATACCTAAAAAGGCAGAAGCATGTATTATACAGCATCACCATGATTCCGTTTTTAACTGACCAATGCATATAGAGCTAGTATTTGGAATTTCGGCTACAGTGGGTGTGTTGTATTCCGGTGCCCCAAAAGGCTTACCCTTGAGTGTCTCGGCACTTGTATAGTTTTGCTTCTTGTTGATTGAACATGAAATAGGAACATTTGGGGTCTTCTGAACACGCCTATCTCAATGATTGGATTGCACGCAAGCATTTAGCTCCAGGCATTGAGGCAATGGTACGTGAAACAGACTTGTTCGGCAGTGCTGAAGCTAGGAAAATCAACGCCAGAAATAGTAGTAATAAAAAGAACAAATTCATTGCTCTTTCTTGCGGGACTGTTGGACATCTGGGCACCTGACAATTCCGTGTGAAGTACCATCTACTACATCAGGGTTTGGGCAGTCCGCAAGTGCATCTGCATAGGGAAGCGAACATTCAGTATTCCGTTTCACCGGCTCTATTTGCCTGAAAGATAAGCGTTACCTTCCAAATGAAGGAAATTGAATATAGATTTAGGCGGGACCGCTAGGACAGTTCTGTGGCGCACTCTATGCGCCATCAACTGCAAGTTATGTTTACGCCATGCAACAATGGAGATGATGAAAATGTATATGTCTGACCCCATTGAAGAAAAAAAAGAGAGGGAAAAGGGCTCGAAGAAAAATCATTTACCTCCTCAAAAATACAGCAAACAGGACTGATGAGTGAGTGAGATAGAAAGCATTTGCCCTGGTTTTCCTTAATATTATTCTGCGTTGTGAACCTCCAGGTGTATGTATTCCTGAGCTCGATAGCCGTTTGCTTTTTTATTACGCACCTCTTTGTGTTACACTTTTATATATATTTTTGTGTTTCTTGTGCTCATTCACATCTTTCTTCGTTAAATCATTGCGAATCCCGTTGATGCGGTTCTCCCCTTTCAACAGGTTTCCTCAAGGAGGGCACTTAAAGATGGTGGCACAGCAGGTAGCATAAAAAAAACACTAATTAAACTTTAGGCGAAGACAACAAGGAATCCGTTCTCACAAGAAATAGCGTGGCTTTTAGAGTTGATACCTCCCATGAACTTAGAGTGTGGATGCTGTCAAAATGGAATTATGGCTTGCGGGTTCGGATGTTTTGCTATTTCTGATTGCTGTCAACAGAGCTGTCCTGAATTCATGCATCGAGTGCACAATCGCATGAAAACCAGCTTTCAGGCGCCAGTGGTGACGCGGCAGCTAAGCATTAGTGAAACGGCGAAGGGTTGTTCTTCGCTTTCCCTGCACTCTCATGAGAGAAGCGCAAGAGGCCAGTAACATCTGCCAATTCTGCTCATACCGTAAAGAGCTTTTTACCATGGCTTATATTGTAGGTTTGGGGTTTAGGGCTTTATTCGGGTATCAGATGTGGGTTGCACCCGACATGGGTTCGTCACACGATACCAGAATTCAAGACTTTCGTGTTCCTTTGATTATTAACATGATAACCCCAAAATAAGCACGAAGATGAGGAGTAGTGGTAGCAAACGTGCTGGTGCCAGCAAAGCGGATGAACAGTATCGAGGGCTTACGGGTTACAAGCGAGGCTTACGGGTTACAAGCGTTCAGGGAAACAGTGCTGACCGAGATATCTACATGCCGCAAGGGGCAAGGCGACTCCTAGCAAATAATTGAGCCAGTTAGCGCACTCGCTTTCACCAATATGAATTTGCACGCGCACATGCACCTTTTGGGGGTGGAGCTCAGCAGCTACATCTAGCGCAAAACATGTCACAGGATTCGCAAACCTTACTCATTGCGAACCCACTCAACCAGAGCTGCTCCATCCATCTTCAACGACGCAAAAGTAAAAATTGAACAATCTAACAAATTATATCGCAGCATTTAAGGAGAATTATTCGTCTTTGCTCATCGCGAAAGCAGGGGTAGCCCCATCTCCAAGCACATAGATACCTCCAACTCCTGAACGGGGGCCCTTAGAGGGGCCCCTTCGGTAGTGTGCTGATCGCAGGAAGGGGAAGATTCTGCCTTTAACCCTCCTTTAAAGGAGTCACTTGATTCGATTGGCTGCCGGTTTCTTTCTAGCACCTTCTTTACTTCAACGGGAAGCTGTCTATCCCTTAATCCAAATCCCATTACCCTAAACCCTGCTTCGTGGGCCTAGCACAGGATTGGGTATGATGCAGCGCACCACAGATGTAGCTCGCCGCTTGAGATTCAATTCTCGCGGCACCACCACCTTCCTCCTAGCATCTGTAAAGCGTGCCCGTTGCATTCCCCTTGCAGCAGCGGGGGCCCCCTTGCGTCCTGAAGGGGCACCTCAGAAGAACCTGTTGCTTTCTGGGCCCCCTCGGTTCCTGTATGCGCTGGTACGGCCGCTACAGCAGAGAAGATGCATGCAGACGCATCCACATGTGCACGAAAGCGTGCCTCTGCCTCACCCCGCGAATCAGGGTGTGGGACCCCTTCAAGGGGCCCCCCATTTCACTCCAATGGTAAAGGACTTGAAGAAGAACTTTCTTGAAGTAGATCCAGACAACCCGACAAGGCTCTTGGAGTACTTTTCCGATTTGTTGAGGCACGGGAATCTCGAGCCGAGCGACGCACAGAAAGACCTCATGAGAGAAATGCAGGTTAGACAGCTCAGCGCCTCACGCTTAGGGGTGACAGGGGACAAACGAGCCTTTTGACTCGGAGTTAAGGGAGCTTGAAGGCTTGATTTTACGATGGGAGGCCACAAAGGGTTCAGGCCTTCTTCCACACTGCACCGTCAGAGCGCGTGGGCAGATGCTACAAGCGCCCCGAGTTTCAGAGTTTAACGCTTATAGCTTTGTGAGCCTTAGGCATTGCTAGACGCCATAGAGGCGGAACAGATAAGCCGACCTGATGACTTCAACTTGGATTCCCCTGGCACTCTAGCCGACACCCAAGAGGCCCCCACTGCCTCCAAACCTCAGGTAAATCCGAATTGCAAGCCGCAGCTCTACCCCAAACTGTACGCCTTGCACATTTTCGTGTGAGCCTGTAAGAGCGATTTCACGGAGAGTAGTAAAGAGGTCCAAGCCGTTAGGGGTTATCATGGTTCTTATGGGGGTTTTGTGATGCGCAGATGCTGGCCGCGTTGGCTTCCTTGTGGAATCGTTTTATTGCGGTGCCCCCGCGCTGTGCGCCTCTTGCACTCACTGGGGTTTGGCCGTCTCTATAGATGTCCTTAAGAAATTCGCCTTCTCCCTTACACATCCTGGGACATCGATTTCGAATAAATGAACTGTCGTGTTGAATCGTTTTTGCTGCGTTGCGTTGTTTTGCTGCAGCAGAGGGTCCTGAAGCCCCCCCCGATGCTTCAAAGGCGGCACCGATCCCCAAAATCAGGGGTTTGTACATTTGGGGCGGCGTGGGACAAGGGAAAACAATGATTCTGGACGCTTTTTACGACTGTTTGAATTCCAAGAAGAAAATGCGAGTTCATTTTCATCAGTTCATGCTAGATGTGCAGCAGGTGATGATACGGGTTTGAATTAGGGGTGTTCAGGGGAGCTCGAGCTGCTCGCAGAGTGAGGAACTCAATTACCTTTTTCAAATCCTTTTATTTCATAGAGGCTAAAATCTGGTTCAGTGTCCTGCTACAGGAGCTGCACCACCTAAAGAAGGAACAGCCTACAGTGTCGGATCCTTTGATGGAAGTTGCAAGAAAAATCAGGCATAATGCCAAAGTACTCTGCTTTGACGAGTTTCAGGTATCTGGGGGAGCAAGGGCTCGGTGGACAGGCAGGCTTGCAGTGGAAGCTTCTTTTGTTCATTGCGGGCTGTGCTGGCCTTATTTCATTGCATGCGCAGGCATGAAGGCATGCACTCGAAGACTTGGGCAGTAGGGTTGAGCCTTAAGGATTCACGGGTTTCAAGCTGTTTCTCTTTGCGCTGCAGGTTGTTCACATTACGGATGCGATGATAATGAAACGACTTTTTGAGGGATTGTTTTCTGTGCGTGTCTTTCAGCTGAAGTCTAAACTGTAAAGCTTGTGTCTTAACACTTTAGCTGTAAATGCTCAACCTTCGACGGTACCGTGTATTCCAATGCCTGTTTACTCAGCGATGGTTCCTTGTGCGTGCGTTATAGCTGGGGGCGATAGTCGTGGCAACGTCAAATAGGGCCCCGCAGGATTTGTACTCGGGGGGCTTGAATCGTCAGCGCTTTTTACCCTTTATTCCTCTTTTGGAAAGATTTTGCAAAGTGTATCATATCGATACAAAAAAGGATTATAGGTATCTCTCAGCCTTAAACCGTTTAGTCCCCGGGCAGCACTCGCATGGTGCTGGGTGGATGTGAACGTGTACTTGTGACGAATGCACCAGCAGAATCTTCGTCCTCTGTTTCTCTTGAAAAACCAGCCCGCGGCGCGAAGCCTTTGCAAAATATTGGGTTTACTCTCCGGAAGCTCCACAACAACGATGGTGTTTGCTTTTCAGACTGGCCAAGGGGGGCGTCAGCTGCCGCAGTCTCTTTTATGCCCCCCCTAGGCCTGATGAGGTCATTATGAAGCAGCTAGAAAAGGCAGCAGGAGGCCCTTTGGAGCCGGGAGAGATTCAAGTTGCAATGGGGCGGACCCTTAAGGTGCGTCTCAACACGCACTGTAAATAATAGAAACGTGGATGCGCATGCATCTTGTGCGCTTTGCCATTGTGTTGATCAATGGCCTGCCCTTGTCTGTTTGAAGCTCTGCGCCCTATCGGCTCGTGCTTGTCCATTTCATGAGCTGCTCCTCCTTGTTTCACTTTATTTCCATCCGGTGTGCTTGCTTCTCTGTGTGTTTCAACTACCCCTTAGGTCCCTTTAATGCGTGGCGGCTTTGCTGCGTTCTCTTTTGGTGACTTGTGCGCTACGAATGTCGGGGCGGCTGATTACCTTTCGCTTGCTGCGCGCTTTCACACGCTGTCGCTTCACTCTATCCCCGACTTGCACCAGATGGACCTCTATCCCAACGAAATTCGGAGGTTTATTAGCCTTATCGACGTTCTATATGAACGGTAGGCCGCATTTCGATCTCCTAAAACTCAAAACCTATGCCGGAAGGCATACAGCACACCGGTTCGCTGGCACGCCTCCGTGATTCTACATCCACATCACCCTCATATGCGAGGCGCTGCCGTGGCCGTCCATGCCTTGCTTTCAACAGAGGCTCACGTACTGCGCCTTTAAACCGTTTCAGCATATGCTGCTGGCATCTGGTGGGCCTGTGAACGAAGTGTGTGCCGACGTGCACATGTATGCATGCCTGGTTGCTGCAGGGGCGTGAGGGTTTTGTTCGATGCTGAGGTTCCTATTTTTAGACTTTTAGGGATTCCTGTGGCCGTCAGCCAAATGGAAGAACTCCGCGCATCGCTGAGGGCGAAGTTTCGCAGACTCGGAGAGGCTTTTGATGCCATGGAACTCGTAAGAGTGCATGCATATGCGCATGGAGACGCGTACAACGTGCATATGTTTGCGAAGAGATGCATGGCTTTTCGGGATCACTGCTTGCCTTACCTGCAGCACTGTAGAGAAGCGGGGATCTTCACAGCAGAGGAATGGATGGCAGCCGCCACTAAGGTTTTGGGCCTTTCTCACAGGTAAATCTCATGCAAAGCAAAGTGCACAAGGCAGTTGGCTGTGTGGCTGGTACATGGCAACCGCTTTTGGCTCTGAAATGCGTTGTTGTCTCGCCCATTGAGGTCCCAGCGTTATTCCAGGAGAGATATGCGCGAGCACGGAAGCAGCACTTGCGCTGCAAAGTAACATAATCAGGATTTACTATATAACTTATTTTTGCTTTCCGCGGTATATTTGGTTGCAGCACTGCGCAATGCTTATTCACGATCATGTCGAGCGACGGTAGTGTTCCTTTGTCCGCAACTCGCATACGGTACGAACCCTAACTGTCCCCTGGTTCATTTCATAAGGTCTCTGCGGGCTAATCTGTTTCTTCTTCTGCTCTTTGTTTACCTATTGTGTGCCTGTCAAGTGTAACCCTAACAAACCGGTAGGGAAAATCGCTTTAGGAGGTGATGTGGCTCGATTTCCCTGTTCACTTGATGTGTCATCGTCAGGTCTTTGTTGTTCTTCCACATGGCCTGTTTTGACTTCGCTCCTCCAACGACTGCAGACTTATTCCTTTTTTCCAATGAAGGAGAGGCAACTGAGATCATGCGACACCCAGCTGTCTACGAGCTTAACAAGTGAGAGCATGACAGACCTGCCGTTTTCCTGGCTGTCGCATTATTAGTTTTCCATAAGGGACAGGCTACTTTTCAAACTGGGGCGCGAGTGCAGAGCAATTCTTTTCGCTTTTTGTTGCACGCGCGAATCTTTACTGGGGGGAGTTGCTTATGGGCGGTAAAGCAGTTACCGACATAATTCGCAGCAAATCCACAGGAATATGTTTTAAACTATGAATTCATCGTTCAGTATGCTTATGACGTTTCTCGCGTTGCGTCGCTGGTTGTACATAGCCACCTCTGCATGCGCCTATATAAGAACATTTGCTCAATTCTTTGGTGCGAGCAGACCCTAGGGTAATTTTTTGGTCTATCAAATGTGTGTTCATTGGTTATATCTTTCTGAAATTCGCTTTTGAGATTGCTGTGTTGGAAAATCGTAATATCACTTGCAGTAAGATACGTTACGTATTCCGGTTTTTGGCCGAATACTAAAACGCTGGCCTCCAGCCACACGATTGGTCTGCCTGCCCGTTTTTGACTGCAGCACCAGTTTGGAATCTAGCGGATCACAAGACAACCAGTTCGCTTTTATTCGAACAGTGTCCAGGTCCGTGTCGTCCGGCGTTTATACACATGAATTCCGCCGACAGAGTGCAAGTCCAGAGTGTAGCCTCGGTGTTGGTCGATGATGCTCTTGCCCACTCATTCCCGTTCGTAATTTTGGATTTGCTCTGTTCTCAATGCTTTGTGTTCGCCTTCCAATTGTGCATGCAGAATCAGAGACATGACCTCACTCCCCTATTTACTGTCTCATCAGAAAACCCATAGGTTGAACGACTTGACTACTATGGACATACATCGCAAGTGAATGCATCAAATCAGACAATCGATCGAAATATAGACACCGGGGAACGCATCAACAATGCAGGGAATATACATCTATCACGGCCTTTTTTTTGTACCAGGCAACTTGAAAGTTGAGTGAGCTACTTAACGGACAGTGCGAATGAGATCTCGAAGCCGTAAGGGCCGTCGTCTAATCATTAGCGCGTAATCTTTTGTCGGGTTCGGCTGTGCTGCTGTCAAGCCATACTACAAACCTTCGGCGGCCTTCCAAATTTGAGTTCTTTAAGGCTTTGAACTCTTAGGTCTGACATGGCCAAGCACGAAAGTACAACGGCACAAGGGATTAGGCTTCAGGCCTGATACTAAGGATGCACGGTAACACCTTTCAAAAGATCTAGCTGATCCTCGCAAAACCGCATAATGGGGTTTTGTTGAGGTGTGCGCACATCCATTTTAGTCATCATCGTCTTCTTCTTTCATTGCCTGTCTGCCTCTCCCTGCTTCTTTTTGAAGTCTGGCATCCTCTTCCGCCTCCCATCGCGCATCCCTTTCTTCTTGAAGCTGCATATCTTTTTGAGTTTGCTCGTCTGACCGGAAATCGACGGACACCCAATTTAACCAAACGCCGTCCAAAGGATCATTTGCCGCACTCACTCGCCGAACTTCCACGGGGTTCCGTTCTGAAATGAAATTCTGAAAAGATCAAAGGGCAGCCCCAGACGGAGAAGCAGAGGGAAAAAATCATGATTTTTCTGCTTCGATATCCAGTTTTTTAGTGCTTGATTAACGCAGCCACATTATTCATGAGACTTTTTAAGTAGCGCGTAAATATATATGTATATCCAAGGACTCGAATCTCGGGCATTTGCTTTTCCGACTCGGATTGATTCCCAGCGCAACGAATACTCTGGCGAAAGCTCACTTGATCAATCCAGGTGCGAAAATTTTCAGAGGAATAAGGACCATGGATCTCTTTGTCGTTTGAGTTTCCGAGCCAACGAAACTGCCAGTACACAGGGTCCACTTCCCCACTCGATGATGATAGGGCTGCTGAACAAGCCGAGCACGCGCATAGAAACACAGGTGCTGTATTGATATGCTTGCAACACGCTTCAGTCCCTACGCTACTGACGCTTCTATAAAAGCATGACTGACACTTTACGGCCCGAAATATCTAGGCTCATCGAAATAAATAACACCAAGAGCCAGTTCAGCTAGGGGGTCGTGAGAGGGAATGGAGCGCACAGAGAGATACACACATACATACGCACACACACACACACACACACACACACACACACACACATGCATACATACTCACATACATATATATATATATATATATATATATATATACGCTCCTCCCTATGCCATCCCGCCATCGAATCTTGGCCTCCCCCATTACCTCCATGTTCATTTGCTTCTGCCTTCTCGCTCTGCAACATTTCTTCCAGCTGCGTCTTGGTCAAGAAGTAGACATCTGCAAAAACAACAACCCCACACCGGACGTACACGCGTATGCCCCAGGACCAGAAGGCCTTCGCTCGCCCGCAAGACACCACTCTCGCCAAAACATGAGGAGCAGCCGCCACTGCTCCTCCTAGTCAGCATGAACACACGCATCCCAAAGAAACATAGCAAGAAAAAGGCAGTATAGAGCCTCTTGCTGACTGCCTCACTTCTTCCAGTGGCGAGCAGCGCCGTGCAGATTTCCGTAAGATCCTCGAAAGCCTTCCTATTCGCTTCGGCATCTCCGTTAGGCTCTCCTTCTTTCTTCCCTGCTTCCCCTCCCTCTGCGGCGGCAGCAACCGCTGCTGCTGCCTCTGCTTCCTCGCGCTCTGCCGCTGCAGCAAGAGCCGGTAGCACCCTCTGTTTCCTGGCCTTGCCCTTCTGAGACGGTCCATGGGGGGCCCCTGCTACGGGGGCCCCCCGCGAAGGGGCCCCCTCGGCAAGCCGTCTGAGCGCTCTGGAGGGCGTCTCTCCTTGATTGAGAATGCACAGGATTTTGCGAATTGAGTCTTGGACGTCAACAGTCACCTCAGGGGCAGGCGGTTGTTGGTGCCTCGTCGCGTGGCTCTGCAGCGCCGCCTCGCTCTGCAAAGAAGTCGCAAGGAAGCGAAACTTGCAAATGTGAGAAGCGGCTATCGTGGGCTTCCAATAGAGTGATCAGCACACACACAAACACACGCATGCACGTCCTGCCAAACTATCGCGGGCAGGGAGAGGTTCGACGAACAGCGAGAGGAGAGGAAGGGGAAAGGGAGAGAGAGGACGAAGGGGAGGGGGGGAAGGGAGAGAGGGGAGGAGGGGCAGTGTAGGCGCTTCTGACCAAGTCACCCTTGGTCTCTCCGAGGGAGTCTAGCCAAGGGTCTGAAACTTCATCGGGATTTGTCTTGCGCCAGAGGTAGTTGCCATCGCCGTCAAAAGTTCCCTCTTGCATTTCTCGCCGCATGTTGAAAGGTTCTAGAGGCACCTCCCCTGCGTCCGCCTGCAGGCATCGGAGTAGTGCAGAAAACGAGAATCGGGGGATAGGAGGCGGGAGGGGAATGGGGAAAATGGAGAAAGACAGGTTCAGAGCTGACAAGGGGCCCCAAAGGGACGACCAAAGCTGCCAAAGGAGCAATCTCTGCAGCTCCCCGTCTCACAGATACAGCTAGATGCCATTCACCACCAACATACTGCTCCAGTATGTTCTGCAGCTATGAAGATCGGTGGACAGGCAGGTAGACAGGCAGGCAGACAGGAAGATAGATAGACAGACAGAGAGATAGACAGGATGATAGATAGACAAACAGTTTTGCTAGATCGAAGCCAACCTGATCGGGGTCGGCTTCTCCTGCGGCATGCGCTGCAGCAGCAGAGTCGAAAACATTAAAATCAAAGCCGCGAGGGCCAAGCCCGAGGCGATGAACACCTGCAGCCAGCGCCTTTTTCTTCCTCCGCAAGTCCTCTACCTGAAAGAAGAAGGAAGCGCTGGGAACGAAAGATCCCATTATTTCACACAGCTCCGCCCTTTGTGGGCTGCACAGCGAAACCCTTATGAAAAGCACCCGAGAGAGAAGTGTGTGTGTGTGTGTCTGTGTGTGTGTATGTGTGTCTGGTTGTGTCTGTGTGTGTGTGTGTGTATGTATGGATGTGTATGTGCATGGCTGTGTCTGTGTGTGTCTGTGTGTCTGTGTGTGGCATCACAGCGGCTGCACACCAAAGCGATCACGAAGAGGCGGGGGAAAGGGGTCTCAGGCACTCGGGAAGCCGCAGATCGGCAGCGGGTGGCTTTGGTGGATGTACACTCGAAAGATGGTTCCCAGCAGGCGACGCGTGCGCACAAGCAGCAGCAGCAGCAGCAGTAGTAGGGGCGCACGGTTGGTTACAAAAGGAGCAGTTTTTTTTCGGGGAGGTTAATGCGAGTTCTCATCATGAACTCGATCGGCCTAACGGGAAGGGGCGCATCAATTTCAACACACACGAAATGCCTTTGAAAGACCTACTGTTTCCTTTGTGTATTGCGCGTCCAACATCTCCGCCTGAGAAGGAGTTTCTTCAGGAGCCGCTGAGACGGCGGGATGCAGCCCTGGGGATTTTTCGACATCTTCTGGCTCCGCCTCCCTCTCGACGCAATGGATTTTGGTTTCAGCGGCGAATTGAACTCTGCGGCGTCTCGGTGCTGTTCCCTGGAGTCCGTTCGGATCAGAGGCCCCCTGGCCGTCATTTTCTGGGCATTCTCTCTTCGTTCCCTTCATGGTAAGTGCCACCTACCCACCCTCCCTCCCGACGCAGTTTGACGTCCCTTGAAATCACGGCGGAGGGCCGCTGATTCATTTAATGCTTGCGAGGGGAGGAAAGAGGAGGCGCGCTGGTCCCTTTTGTTCAAGGGGGTCAGCGAGAGGCGAAGGAAAAATCCCCAAAGGCGTGGCACAGACGCAGGCACGCATATCCCCCGTGCAGCTAGTGGCGGGTGCTGCCCATATGTGTGTGGATGGACTCGAGCTGCAAAACAGATACACCAGCGACCGACTGACGATGGCCCTTCTGCTTCCTGCAAAAGATATTTTTCTTTGAACCAAGAAGGACTCCAGCCGTTTCATTGGGTCTTTTTGTGCTTGGGTGATGCATGCAGCAACGCACCAGCCCTACAGCGGAGAGCCGTCAAAGAGGCCCCTAGAGCAGCCTGACAGTCGTGCTTTGTCGCTTTCTTCATGAAATCATCAACAACTTCGAACAGATCACACTGCCAAAGTGGGTTCCCCCGCAAGCAAGGTGACCCCTGCCGCGCTACCGCCGCGCCGCTGCCGCGCTGCTGCCGCGCGACTAGAGGACCTCCACTGCATCTCACGCGCCGTGAAACATCGAGTGTCCATATCTGCACATATGTGCATGCCGGATCAAGTCTTGATCGGATCGAGTCAGACGCGAGGCCCCTACTAGGGCAATGTCGGAGGAGGCGCATGCAGAAAGCCCCCCTGACGCGGGGGCGCAGGACGAGAGCAACAAGCGCCGGCAGGAAGAGAAGCCAGCAGAGGCGGAGAATGCGCGCGATGCGGGAGAGCGCACAGCTGAATCCGTCGAAGGCGGAGTAACAACACCAGCCGCAGCAGCAAGCGGTGCAGAAACGAATGCGACGGAACCAACAGGGGCTGCTGCCGAGGCGGAGGTTGAATCCAGTACCGTCAGCCTCATGCAGCAGCAGAGAGGCCGAAGGCGAGCCGTCAACAGCCGAAGGGCAAACCAGAGAAAATGCCCCGTCCCCCCTCCCCCGCCTTTTTTAAGGGGAGGCACCTCTTCGAACACACCCCCACCACCTCCCCTCGCATGCGCAGGAAGCGTCCCCCCACCCCCGCCGCTGGGAAGCCCCTCTAGCGCAACGCCTCCCCCGCCTCCTCCCCCCTTGCTGCCCCCCCCCCCTGCTTCGTTGTCTGTGCCGCCCCCTCCAGGAGCAGCTGCCGCTGCTGCTGCAGTCCCTCCTCCTCCTCCTGCTCCGCACCTCCCGCCTGCTGCTGCTGCGACGGCTGCCTCAGCACTGATGCTGCTGCGGCGCCCTCCCCCGCCTCCTCCTCCCCGCAGACCTTCCCCTGCAACGGCTACCCCCAAAAACTCTCCGGCAACATTCTACGGCAATAGCAGAGGGGTCTGGCCGCAGTCGCAGCAGCAGCAGGGAGCTGGCGATTCTGACCCTTTCCGCGAGCTGGCCTACTTCACGCTGCTGCAGCAGGAGCTGCAACAACGACAACACAGTCCTGCAGCCGAAGCGCCCGCCGCTGCAACAGCTTCGACGGCGGCGGCAGCTGCGTCGGAAGCTCTAGCCGAAGGGGCAGCGGAGGCGCACTTTATCCAGCAGCTAGAGTCCGCTCGTAACTACGAAGACTGCAAACAACTGGTCATATCCATCCTCCCGCGGGCTGCAAGCTCCCCCCAGGTGCAATCGACCGCCGCATTGCGACTTGCGATTTGGGGTAGCCGGGAGTTCAGGGAGTTGCAGCAACAGGAGCAACAGCGCGCTAGGAGGACTGCGCAGACGCAAGCAGAAACAAATCTGTATGGCGGTCCTGCACCAGGCAGAGCGCTCTCAGAGGGGCCTCTCTTGGATTTCCAACTCGACGAACGGTCCGTCTTGCGGTGCCGACGACATCAGAAGGGGGGATGAAGAGGGGTTTCGTGGTTAGAGGCAGCGTCTGGAGTCGGATCGTGCGTTCAGATTCATAGCGCGAACGCAAAGGGGCTTCAACGCGGCGAAAGTAGCCGCTGCTCTGGACCCTCAGTGAAGGCGTCGGGCCGGTATGGGGTGCGTTTGCGGCTCAGGTACATGGATTTCAAGCAGCGCATGCGCCTGGCGCTGCAGCAGCTGCTGCAGCAGCTGCTGCGCAATTCGCACGGCACGCCCTTGACCGCTGATTGCTTGTGCAACGTCTTAGGGGCAGCCGCGCTTTCAAGGGTGTTGCCTATGGACTCTATTCGCCTGGTGGGAGGCGCCCTTAGAGGCTGCCTTCAAAGCCTGACTCCGAAGGAGCTGGTCAGGATTCTGAGCAACTACGCCAAATGCATGCAGCTCGAAGGCGATGCTCATGGGGGCATCAACATCACGGTCGAGGATCGTGATTTCACGCAGCGCATCATTCAACAGCTGCTGCGCTGTACAGACACCCCAGCAGAGGGCCTGAAGGCGGAGACCCGCGAAACCCTCACAACCCTAAACCCTAAGGAGCTGACGCAGTTACTTAGGGCCTGTGACAGGCTGTCGCTGGAATCACCTGAACTGATGCAGCACGTTGGACAGCTTTCCCTCAAGAAGCAAGCAAATTTCTCGCCTGACGACTGGGGCACCGTCGTTTGCGGTAAGCGTATCCCCACTTTTTCTAAAGTCGTCTGTTTCTGCATTCGCGTGCATCTTCCGGCGTCAATCAATTCCCTGGCAAGCAGGGCCCCCTCAATGCACGGCAGAGCAAAGCGGGGCCCTTGAACTCGAAATCAGGATGATAGGAGGAGAGGGTTCCAAGGGTTTAGGAAGTTTTTGTGAGTATGTGTGTGTGTGCGTGTGTGTATGTGTGTGTGCCTATTGTTTATGATTGTTTTCAGTGTTTTCGCGAATGGGCATTCCTTTGCGGGGGGACTGCAAGAAGCAAAAGAGGCCAAAACAGAGCAGGGACTGGGAAAAGCCACCCCCTCCGAAGAAACCCGTGCCAATTAGTCAATGCTAAAGCCGTTGATGATCTTAAGTGTAGGCTTAGGAGTCGTGGGTGTGTAGCTTATTTTACTGACACAAGAGAATTGCAAAAGTACCCCTAGCTGCGAGGCGAACAGGGGTGCCTCCTGTTGACCGTGCAGGGTGAAAATGCTAGTTGGCATGTTTTGTCGCTGGCCATTAACCAGAGTACATTCGCCATATAGCGATGTTTTCCAACTGAGGTGCTTCGGTAGAGGCGCGTCATGCGCTTAGCCTCCATGAAGACATGCTCGGTCGCCCTTAAGACACTGAAGGAACGCACATGAGGGTGTGGGGCTTCACGAGCTTTGGTGCAACCCCTGATGATAAAAAGATCTCTTTTCTTATTTGAGACCTCTGTTACAGCCTATAATTGGCGATTTCCTCGACCTTGGTACAGATCTAGGGTCAAGAAAGTAGGGTTCGCTATCCGCATACCATACCCCAGCCCGCATCCACATCCGGCCGGGGTGCGAATTTCATATAGACAAGCCCACTCCTCGAGAACTAAGCGCACAGGCTGCTTGTATTTCAAGGCGTACTGCCAGCTAAGACCGTGAACTTATTAGTGTTTCTTCATGCGGGAGGTTCATCGCCAAATTTAGCATCGACTGCTGCCGCTTCCCCCTGGAGGGCTTCGTCGTAGGTCTTCTCAAGGGCCACGTTCCCGCGTGTTCCTACCCTGAGGCACATGTTGAGGCTGCGGAAGGTGTTGGAGTTTTAGAAAAATGAGGCGCTACCGTGCACAGCAACTGACACTTTGCCACAAAGGAGCCAGGGCAAGCGGCTAGAGAACTTGCAGTACACCTGAACGAATGCCTAGGTAATTTAGCCTTCTTTGGAGTGTTGCTTACAATCTGTCTTTGAACATGAATATGGCGATTGCAGCCATCATCACAACAAGGCAGCCTGCAGTTGCAATGAAGAAGATGCTGCTGTTGCCTTCGTTGTGTGCGTCTTCTGTGGAAAGACAGCACACCCATAAGGGCCGCTTGTAAGTAACGAAGAACGACTGCATTACGGGCCCCTTGTTGCACGTTCGAGGGGAGATTTGCCATAGCGCCGAGGGTGCTCCTCTCCACATCAACTCCGGCATATCCACAGGGTTCCAGTTAGACACAAGCATGCAAGGCAATGGGGGGAGGGCGGGAGGGGCAGGAAAGTGGCTTCTCATGAAGAAGTATACACACAAGTAGGTTGTGTAAAAGGAGCCACGGTACTGTGTACCTCAATTGAGCTGCTCTTTTGCTTTGTACCAAAGTTCGTACAAACGGGCATGCAGAGCAGTGAGGGCATACTCCCGTCTGCCTCACCTTGACCTTGGGTAGCAGAGCTGGAAGTCTGCAGGAAAAGTTTCTGGATGTCGCAAATATCTGACGTTGTGGTCTCTTGGTTGTAAAGAATGTCGTCAAACGCTATCTCCGCCTGCATAGCAGCTTCCATGTTCTGCTGCTTCTTTTCTAATGAGATGTATTGACTGGAGCTCAGACCTATCTCGAAGCCACCTTCTTCGAGCACTTGTTCATCTGCCGAATTCACTTTCACATTCACCTGGCCCCTGCAGGGGACGCGAGATACGCATGCAGATACACAAGGCGCTATGTATTCCATCATGCTGCCAAGGACGGGGGCATCTGTAAACCCAGCTAATTCAACTGTATTAGCTAGCAGTTTGTCTATCCAACAAATGAGTGCCTTGGTGAAAGTATTTAAATGCAAATAAAAATGCACAAATGATCCAGACCCGTGGATCGCCCAAACACACAGGCACTCGCCCATCCACATAATTATGTACTATATGTATATATATATATATATATATATATATATATATATAGATGCACACATACATGCACACATAGAACTACGTACATACACATATGCATATATACACATAAACACCAAATGCAGAACAATAGAGATGCAATATGGATATTCTAGATGCCGGCCTGCTCATTATCATGATGGATTCGGCCTATAAGACAGTAGCACCATATGCACGCATGCACAGATACCCCGAATACCGGTAATCTGTAGGACTGTGTCATTTACCTACCTATATTCGCCCGGTAAGAAGGGGCGCATGTAAATGCGAGCGACCTTGGACTCCCCAGGCTGTAACTGGAAGCTATGGTCTGTGCACTTAATCTGCAACCACATGCCTCCTAGTCGTGCCACCTGCAGCACACGAAGTCGGCGGTCCTATGCACGAAGCTGGATGCAAATAATAGGGGCTTCTGCTGGAGGACAAAGGAAAGGCGCCAGACGCGTGCTCAGTGGCAGCAACACGTGCTTCCTGCAGCTCTCGGAGCTGCACAGTTTGCCGAATCCTGTTGCGCCATCTACTATCTAGCCATCCAATTGCTTATTAAAACCCGCAGCTAGCTTCCCAGCTACCTGAGGGGCATCTTGGCTCGCCGAAGGGGTTCAACAGCTGGTGGCTACTAGCGGCGCGCCCCTCCAGTGCGCTGGCCATGAGACTGGCTAGATAGATGGAAACGCACCGAAACAGCAGCTTCTGCGTTAACTATCGCTCCCCAGAGCGTCGCGGTGCTGAGGCTCTGGACGGGAGTTGAGGAAACGCGCAGTATCTCTAAAACTTCTGCTGCTGACGTTTCAGATTTTGCAGAGGCGAACACTCCATATACTAGCGCGGCAACGCCTGAACGCATGTCGCAAAGCGACTTACTTTTGCGCCGTGGAAGGCTGCCTGGAGGGCTTTAGGATGAGGGCTCTAACACCTTTCGAGATTCGGCCTTGCCACAGGAGCTTCCTGCGCTGGGTATAGCTGCGCAGCTAGCTGACAAGGCGGCTGCACCACGCCCCTACAAGGCGGCCTGCCCAGCCAGGCTTCATCAGATACAGTGCAGCACATGGGAGGACCCTCAAAACAAAGAAACCCCAGCTGGCCAGCAGGAAAAGCTGCTGCCGCTTTGTCGGGCAGGACGGCTAGGTGTGTGTATCTGTGTGTATCTCTGTATGTCTGTCTGTGTATCTGCGCATGCGTGTGTGTATCTGTGTATGTCTATGTGTGTATCTGTGTGTGTGTCTGTGTATTTATGTATGTCTGTCTGTGTATATGTGTGTGTGTCTGGGTGTGTGTATGTGCATGTGTGTATATGTGTGTGTGTGTGTATTTGTGTGTGTTTGGGTGTATGTAAATGTGTATATATATGTATTTATATATCTATATATGTAGCTATATATACATATACATTTCTGCGTGCGTCTGTGTGTAGGGGGTTTCGCCCTATTGGTGGCTGCAGCGAGATGGGAGGGCCGCGTTTAGGCAGCGCTAGCAGCGTGTTTGCTTTTTGGCATGTGGAGACGTGCGCAGAAGGCTATTCGAGGAGATGAGCACTTTCGCATGGCGTGCCGCACGTAGGGAGTGAGAAAGGCGTATAGCGCACAGCAGGTAGGAAAGCGAGCTAGCGAGGAGGAGCAGGCTTACCAGCTACAAAAGCCGCAGCAGCCGAAGTGCCGGACTCATATTCATAGCCGTCACCGGGAGCAGTGGAGAGGATGCGATTTCCAGGTGCACCAAGATGAATCGCTTGCCTCCCGTGATTGGTGTACGAGGAGAGCGCATTGGCTGTGGCCATGGCAGCGACGCTGCACGCAACAACCCCTCAAAGTTGACAGCAAAGAGTTGAATATATGTATTCAATCACCGCCGCAGCGGTCCTGCTGGGAGGGAGGGGACATAAAAAACACGACACGGCTCCCTGGCAGAAGCAGTAGTAGTACTAGTGGTAGTAGCAGCAGGTGGGGTAGTAGTAAGGATAGTAGTAGCAGGTGGGGTAGTACTAGTGGTAGAATTAGCAGGTGGGGTTGTAGTAGGGATAGTAGTCGCAGGTGGGGTAGTACTAGTGGTAGAATTAGCAGGTGGGGTAGTAGTAGGGATAGTATTAGCAGGTGGGGTTGTAGTAGGGATAGTATTAGCAGGTGGGGTTGTAGTAGGGATAGTAGTCGCAGCAGTAGTAGCAGAAATAGTGATACTTTGGTTGGCATAAGCAGTGCCTTCAGCAGCGGCCGTAACAAGAGCCGTAACAGCAGTTTGACAGCCGCAGCCGTAACAAGAGCCGTAGCAGCAGCACGCGCATCAGCTTAACGGCAGCAGTATCAGCACCAGCAGCAGCACGAGCATCAGTTCAACGGCAGCAGTATCAGCACCAGCAGCAGCACGAGCATCAGTTTAACGGCAGCAGTATCAGCAACAGCAGCAGCACGCGCATTAGTTTAACGGCAGCAGTATCAGCACCAGCAACAGCACGCGCATCAGCTTAACGGCAGCAGTATCAGCAACAGCAGCAGCACGAGCATCAGCTTAACGGCAGCAGTATTAGCAGGAAGGGGAGCAGCAGTACTTGGCTGTGTTGGGAATGTTGAAGGACGCTGGAAACTGATTTTGCTCTTGCAGATCCAGTCCTTGATTGCCAGCACCATTTACAATAAGCATGCCATGGCCTTTGCGAGCCTTGGCTGCGAATTGAAGTGCTCTTTGAATAGCCTGACTGGCAAACGAACTTCCCCAGCTGTTGTTTACAATGTGCGCCTTTCGAGCGATAGCCATGTCAAGTGCTCGAACGGCGGCTGCAGTAGACCCCTAAGGCAACCCCAACGCAGGCAGGCAGCAGCAGCAGCAGCATTCCGCAGCAGCAGCAAACCAAGCCACACACAGACGCATGAGCTTGCACACAAAGAGGCGCAGAGACACTGCCTGCCAGACTGCTCGCTCCAAACAGACTCCGTTGCACCCGCAGCTCAAACTCACAACACGTTCGCGAGCAGGCCTGCCTCTGCCGCAGGCTGGCGCTTAAGAGACAGCTTTCGCTGGACTTACATATCCAGAAGAATTATAGAGACGGCAATCAAGGAGCCGCGTCAGAGGCGCACAGCCATAGATGCCTTGCCGCCCCGCGGGTTTGGCCGCTATAATTCCTAAGAAAATCCAAAAGCGTGTCGCATGCTCGCCAAGGTACCATCGCCAACGAAGAAGAAGCGGCATGCACACCTGCAGGCTTTTTCGACAGGCAGCGGCAACGAGGCGTGGTAGATGAACCTCAGACGGCAGCAACTTTACCTGCAGTGTGTGTGCCGTGGGAAAAGAGGGAAGCTGCACTGGCTTTCGCGGCTTCTGCGTCAACAGCACCATATGCGAAGCATCACAAGAGCAGCAGCAGCAGCACGCATGTATATACACACAGACGTAGACACACACAGACAAATACACAGACACAAATACACAAATACACAGACAGAAATACACACACTATTACCAACATTCACGCGCTCTGACCCCCCCATCACCAGAAGCAGCAGCCTCCATTGCGGCAGCAGATGAAGCACCAGCCTCGGCAACAGAATCCTCGTAGATGACAGTGCCCCTCAGATCTTTGTGAGGCGCAATGCCAGTGTCCACTACCGCAACCTACAGCGAACAAGAAACGGATGCAGTAGTCTCAGGAGAATAAGGAAAGATATGGCTTTTGCACACTCCCTATGGCAGACACGGAGAACGCTCATCAAGAAGGTGGCCTACAAAGCGCGAGGCAGTCACAGATAAAGAGAGAGAGAGAGACAGACAGCGAGATAAATATACACACATCGAAAAATACACACACATACATACACAAATGTACACACACAGAGACTTACACACATACATACACAAATGTACACACATAGAGACTTACACACATACATACACAAATGTACACACATAGAGACTTACACACAAACATAAACAAATACATACACAAATATGCACACACAAACATACACAAATATGCACACACAAACATACACAAATACACACAAATATGCACCCACAAACATACACAAACACATACACAATTATGCACCCACAAACATACACAAATACATACACAATTATGCACCCACAAACATACACAAATACACAAAAATATGCACACACAAACATACACAAATACATACACAAATATGCACACATAACCATACACAAACAGATACACAATTATGCACGCATAAACATACACAAATACATACACAATTATGCACACATGAACATACACAAACACATACACAATTATGCACCCACAAACATACACAAATACACACAAATATGCACACACAAACATACACAAATACATACACAAATATGCACACACAAATATACACATAGAGATATAGAGCCAGCCACAAAGACACACAGCTGCCAGTGTAGATTTTAGAGCTTACCAAGACATCCTTATGCCCTTCCTCCCCCTGGGCGAACACTTGAGGGCAGTGAACGGCAGAAACTCCCCACTGCTGCTCGGAGGAGCGCGTGCTTTCGCTATGAGGCAGATCAGAGGTGTTCGTTTCTGCGCAGAGAAAAGGTGACAAGTGTGCAGCCGAAGAATTTTTCTGCATGGCAGGAAGCTGCATTTGATGCATGCAGCATCGACGGATGTGCGTGCATGCGTGTGGGCAGGACGAGAAGAGGCGCTGCCGAAGACACGAGAGAAGCAGAGATCGGATTTCGGAAAAGAGTTCACATAGAGTTCAACGAAGCAGGACTAAAAAAGCAGCGGCGCAAATCCCCCTGTGTGTGTTTTGCCCGAGAGGCAGAGCCATCTCGCAACAGACACACGCATCGCGATACGCAGTGACAGCGAAAAAAAGCAGCATTCCAAGTATATTCGAGCTCCAGCAAGTCTATTTGATCTGCTTTACTTGATCTCTGCTTAATTTGATCTCTGCTTTATTTGATCTCTGCTTTATTTGATCTCTGCTTTATTTGATCTGCTTTATTTGATCTCTGCTGTATTTGATCTGCCGTGCACCCTCCACGCGAGCAGCAAGCCGCTTCGAGAGCGACAGCCAGCGGGAGAACCGCGCAGACTGCAGCCACTTGACGCTTGCGCAGACAGCTAGCCAGAGACGGAGACGCGAGGATCGGGGGAAGCAAGCGAAGCGAGCTCCAGATGCGGCATGAAAAGAGAGGAGAGGGTATAATAAGGCGAGGAGGTGGTGATTTGCAGAAGCTACGAAGTGTGCCAGTGCATGCGCAGACCCCTGTAAGGCACAAATTGCAATTGGGAGGCAGGTACCACCATTGAAGCCTTAAGAGAAGTTGCGTCTTTCTCTTACGTTCGGTGGAGTCGTGGCCAAGGCGCTGCTCTGGTGTCTGTACTGTGTCGGATGCGGCTGCTGGTAAACTTAGGATGTCGAGCTGAGGCACATATATATATAGGCACGACACAACCCCGACAAGTGAAATCAGAGGCTTACAGAGAGAGAGAGAGACAGAGAGAGAGAGAGAGAGAGAGAGAGAGAGAGAGAGAGAGAGAGAGAGAGAGAGAGAGAGAGAGAGAGAGAGAGAGGGAGAAAGAGAGAGAGAGGGAGAGAGAGAGAGAAAGTGAAAGAGAGAGAGAAAGAGAAAGAGAAAAAAAAAAAAAAAGAGGCACGAAGACAGAGCACAAGAGACAGAACAAAACAAAGAC